TCGCCGTAGACCCTTGCGCAACCATAAGTATGTGAGTAAAGTGAACTCAGTATATTCACATACTTCTGCTGCATTCCTTTGCGAAGGAGCGAATTCATAACGGATTAGCGGTCATTTGAGTCGAAGGCTCCTCTTAGATGAAGAAACACGATAACTGTTGTGAAGTAGTGCGTAAAGCATAGCTCGAGGACTTGACGCAGAGCGAAGATTTGATCGATACAACTGCGGCCTGATCGAATTAATGTATGCATTAAGCGAATTGTCCCAATAGGCCATCATTAAACACTGTAAAAAAAAACAGGGTAGTGAACAAGCTCGTTTGCGGTGATTCCTCTACAGTTTAATACATTACGATTTATATCAAACGGTATTGTAGGGGGAAGAAACGCTTATAAGGCAGACAAGATAAAAGCGACAATAAATGAACAACATAAAACCAGCTGAATCGCATCGACCGAACCAAATATTCTCCCGAGTATATTTCGATGGAAGGTTTACTTCTGTACTTCTTATACGTCTCATACGTTTTCATAGGAGATGATAAAACGATATGTATTGTTAGTGTTTTTCCTATTATTAGATCGGTTGAAGATGACCGGGTGTGTGGTAAACTGCACAAGCAGGCGGTGGTGGCCTGACGGTAATATCATCAAATTACAACCCCAGAGAATGTGTTTGTATCCCACGACCACCACTTGGCTTTCCCCATTTTTTGCATTGTATGGCAGCCGTTTTATAGACCGCTTTCTCTTCCTGAAAATGGTGTGGTTGTATATTCAACGAAAGGAAGTAAAACTGAAAAGAAAAAGTAACATGATGTTGTACTACTTGTGAGTAGTCAATCTTTATATGTAGCTTTTTTCATTGAGCTACTCGCAAGACTTACCAGTAGGCGGTTGGATTTTCTCTTGGCAGACCCAGGTAACGTTCCGTGTATGCTGTGTCATAATAGATCCAATCAACCACGGGAGAACATGCAACAACAGCCCGATATATGTGCGAATAGTGCATAGCTGCCATTAGACTCATATATCCACCTGTGAGGGTGCAAAAACAGACGAATTAGAAGTGATGGTAACTGTGCAAAAGACGAAAATATGGGCAGTTCGGTGAGAGGTATCACAGAAAGCTTCAAATCCAGGCATCAGAGCGATAAAACATCATGTAGAGTCCCGAAAAGGGGACTAATCCTTTGTATGGTCGATACCGCGAAAGGTTCAANATTCCCATCAATAGGGCACGGGCGAAACAAACAGACAACATAACGGAAAAAGCGCATGCAGACCGTAAAAAGGTGAAGTGAGGATAGGAACCAGTGGTAGCAATCATCTCGACAAATTAACCGTACTCTAACGCGTTTTAGCTAACAAAAGAGAAGGAAATTCGGAGACAGTGAAACTCTTATTGGCTGTTTCCGGTCTGATATCATCAAACTAGTCCTTGAGGTTGATGATAATGATGATGGTGATGAGCATCAGTGAATCGATAAACGCACACACGCAGGTGTAAGTGGAACACATTTTGGACAACATAGGAGAGATTTAGTTATCTTAGTTTTCGGTTGCACCAACAGTACTATACTCTGTGAAACCTAGGGTCGAAAAGATGGACCCATTACGCAACAGCACACACTATGACTATATATATATATATATATATATATATATATTGGAATTATTATGGTTTACGAGAGGACAAGTCATACAAAATTGAGTAAAATGTTTTAGAAAACAGTTGAACATGTGCATGTAAACACCGTGCAGTTGAGTTTATCCAAAGACAGAACGAACAACACGGAGAATCGGTTCGATTCCCTTGGTTAGGTCAACTTTGAGAAGTGGGAGTGTGGGAATGCTTCCTTCAGACACGTACCGTACGAATAACCGGTGATGGCCACACGTGACATATCAATGAGACCGGTCGAGTTGGCCACGTGTTTTAGGAATGCCACGTGATCGTTCAATTCAACTTGGCCCTGTTTTGGGGGGAATTGGACGAGAATTTGACACGGACAAATGTGCGTTAACTATCGAAATTGAACAATTGGCTGAAATAATGAAAAATGGGAAATAAACGTGGAGAATATTTAGCCAATAACAGCCCTACACCAAAAGTACTTAGACTGACTTTTTACTGCGAGAAAAAAATACCAAGCGATATTCATTGGTGAAGACTACTCCTCATCAGCATCAACATCGTACAGCGAAATTCCGTGAAATGAACTTCACTTGTCCGCTTATAATGCATATAAGCTAAGGGACCAAGTGTAAGTGACTATTTTGAGGGAATGCGTAAGGAAGTGAACCTCTAAGGTCAACGCACGCACACACACTCAGACGGAGTGCACACGAGTTCATGGTGCATACACACTTTCCCTAGCATTAAGACTTGATAAGCGACAACAAGAAACGCAGTGCTATCGGGTTGTTTGCCGTGTTCTACAGTGCCGCCAGCCAGCCAGTCGTTAACTAGTGACGGGGGCATTTAAATCGAATGCTGGAAGACGAGGTACATCTGCCCTACTCAATCGTTCTATCTCTCTCACTTGTTCGCCCCATCGTTTCCATGTCATTTGTTGACCGTCACGTGACTTTATCCAGCCCGGAGCAGCGACTACGAATTGCGCACGACGCGGAAGGCCGTAATTAGGCCAGCACCAAACGTGTCACTTCTGTGAAAAGTTACGACGAATGGGCTTCCATACAGCATAGGCTGCTCCCGCCTTGGAGAGACTTGTGGTTATCTCTCTCTTATTGTACTACTGTGATTGGTCATAGAAATAAATAAAAATAACCTGCTATTACTACTGGCCTTTCTCTTTTCTAGCTGCAAGTAAGTAATGCCATAACTTACTTGTCACGGCACTGCCTTCAAACGCCTCAGTATGGTCGGGAGTGGGTGCCTAAAGTGGTGGCTGATCACTCTTACCTTCACCTGGTGAAATGCTCCCACACAATCAAATCTCAAATAGCCTCTGTTATTATATTATATTTCACACACGTCTGAGGCCAGACTGTGTGACAAACAAATCATGGTACAACAACTTTATAAAAAAAGAAAAGCGTTCCGTGATTTGCATGTGGGCGGAATACTGCCAGGTTGCCTAGGCCAGTGCAGGTGAATTTCCTTGAGGAATCCACAATCGGGGCATTCGGCTAGTCAAAGCCTGACCCGCAAGGCACTGGGGCACTGTATGAAAACCGTAGTTCATTGGGGGTCGGTGTCTAGTTCGTCGGATCTTACGCCCTTTGGACGGGGTCAAACGTCCAAGGTGCCAAATACACCTCGATTCCCAATCCAGTCGATGACCACTACTACAACCGGGAAGGTGTGTGGTTCGTACACCTCTTGGTTGGTTTGGAATCAGAGTTTTGGGCCTCCTCCCCTAGGTGAAGCACCAGTGGTCCACTAACCCGGTTATAGCCCCGAATGTCGGCTATTCGTCCCCTCACTTTGGTGGGAAAACACCTCAGCCACGAAAAGGCATTGAGTAGGGCTCCCTCAACAGAGGCTAGTTGAGACGCTTGGTAGTATGGGAGCATTTCGCGAAGTGCAAGAGAAGGGTGATCAGCCGCAGCCCTAGACAACCACCCCCAACCATACTGAGGCTCTAAGGAGCCACAGGAAACAAATTCGACGGGGGAAAAGTGTTTACAGGGACATTTCATAGTTCAAGATTAAGATGAGTTTCAGTTTCAGTTTTTAAAACCATGCGCCGGTTTTCGTTGCCGTCTTTTGGTTGCCCACTTGGATAAAAGAGCGAAATGAAGATTGGAATGTCAAAGCAAATTCAAGCGGAAGATGGGGATTACATATAGAGTGGTGTTAGGAATAACGATTGAATGCACGAGCGCCGCTGTTTGCGACACCCAGCCATATCACTCAGTGTCTCTAACCATCGGTGACCATCATCCCGAGGTCCCCAGCCAGGGAGCCTAACGGGGCCTATGTGACCTAGTCTCCTGGTTAGGGTTTTCATACCCTCATATCAGGTCTTAGCTTGACCGCCCTTTGTTTTTTTCCAATCGCTACCAGCCTTGGCAATCATCGTTCGCCGTGGCAACCTATCTAGTGACATGCGTAGCAGATGTCCCAACCAGCGTAATCTATGGAGGTCGATCATTTGTTCCAGTGGACGGCCGCGACTGCCTAAAACTCTACGCCTAACCTCAGCATTGTTAGTCCGGTTACCCCACCAGACACGTGTAATGCGACGTAGACAGCGGTGTTCGAACACCGACAATCTATTTTTATCCTGTTCCTTTAGTGGCGAAGTCTCTGCACCGTAGAGCAGGACTGGTCGAACTGCTGCATCATACACTCGACCCTTAAGATTAAGACGAAGTTCACTTGTTACCCTCTCTCTGTTTGTGAATAAACGTGCAAGCTACGGTAGAGTTGAATTTCCGTGAGTGTCTATACGAGATGACATTTTTGGTAAAATCGAGAGCGTGTGGAAGGACGAGAGCGACCATGTGTCAGTTCTGTATGCAGTGGATGGTCAGGATCTGTGAGAATCCGTTCCACAATTTTCACATAGGATGGATGATGTATGATAGTCTGAGACGTTGACAATTAAATAATTCACAGGAACAGAGGAAACGCGGCTAAAAACGGCTAACGATTTCGAATGACCGGATACTTAGGAAACAAACAATTTCACAATCCATATCACCACATTCAACAAATTAAATAGAAAACGACACTACTTACAAAACATATGTTACGCCCGGAAAACTGAATAAAAACTATATGCGTTGACAAGTATCCACGAGCGAGACTGTACTCAAGGTTCTGGCTAATAGCCCATCCCACGTTTCGTGATTCCGACTGCGTTTTCTTCTTCTTTACAGAACACAACGAATGTGCATTGCAGAGGTCAGGCGCAAAGTTTTGGGCAACCGCGGTTGTTCACTGAAACAGGTGGTCAACCTACATAGACTACGGTCGCTAAGACTGTATTACGCATGTCACAGAATCGGCTGCTATGGCGCGCGATGTTTGCGGATGAGAAGAGAGCAAAGGCGGTCAAACTAAAACCTTGCATGAGGGGGAGGGGTATGAAAACCTAACCAGGAGACTAGGTCAAATGGGTACCGTTAGGCTTCCTGGATGGCGACTCCAAAGTCATGGTAATCGGTAGTCAGAGACACAGAATAATATGGCTGAGTGTCGCAAACCAGTGACGCTCGTGCATCCATTCAATATTTTTGCACCTGTAGTCTATATGACTGTTCTATCTTCATTTTTCTCTCTTATCCAAATGGACAGACAAAAGACAGCAAGTAAAACCGGCGCATAAAAATGCATTGTTAATGGTTGTAAAAACTGAAAACTGAATTGAACTGCATTACAGGAACGGTGTGATGCCTTTGTGTTTTGGTTTTCATTCGTCGTGGCTAAGACAAGCTAATTTCCTCAATGTGACTATGTAATACACATTGGTCCGTTCGTATAACGTTTGTTTAACAAACCGCTCCGGGGGGGGGGGGGGTTGGGTTGGAACACGCAACAACGTTAGGTCAGAAGAAAAGTATATCCTCTATCGCGAATGCGTTCCATCAGATAAAAAGGAGTTCGCTATGAGATGGAACGTTTGGAGAGGATAGAAGATTTGGCTACTTTTGGGGATGGTGGGATTGTGATCGGTCTCCAACAGTTTCAAGTAATAAAAGTGTAAAGTGATTCATTTACAATAAATTAAGATATGTGAATAATAGATGATTGTTGAAGCGAGGACAGAGATGTTCACCCAGGCAAAGCCTTCTTATATTTATCCAAAATTTCGGATTGGGAGCACTGTAAACATTATACTGATAACTAGGAGGAGATCGTGGCGAGTGTGTTCCACTTCATTAGAACAATAATCAAGCTGGCGCGCGCGCGCGTGCGCCAAAAAAACGGAAGCGTGCCAGAACGGGGGACTACGGCGCGATTTTGCTGTTTGGTTAATGGATTGATAGAACGAACCAAAAGAAACCTTACCAGGCGATCTTTGATGTGACCGGCAAACAGGATACCTCGATTGGCGGATCCACGACAATCGCAAAGGAAAACGGCATAACCGAAATGGCAGTACAGCATGGCATGCATCAGGCTGAACGGAAGACGAATAGAAAGAGGGGAACGGAGACATGCTGAGCGTTATTGCGCACATATACAACACGAGTGTGGAAACCGTACAACCTGGTTTCCATCAGCTCTCATCGGGAGAGACAGATGAAAAGTAAAGAGAACGGAAATGGCAATTGTGACAATCCTTGTAAAACATGACACGGTTCACGATCCCCAGTTGCGTGGTCCATGGATTCGCGCTGCTGCTGATGATGATGATGAGACTGCAGCAGATCGAAACAACTGTCCAGTGCAGTTTCGCATTTTCTCTGCACACGATGAAGAAGTTCACCATATGCTCCAATCAAATACTCCGATAATCTCAAGTAACGTATGTGTACTGCAGACTACAGATAACAAACATTAATTATCCCAAAGTAGATAAATAGAAGAGTATCTGACCATCTGAAATCGGTAATAGAAAAGCATACACAGATGCATATATATATATATATATATATATATATATACTCGTCACAATAACCTTGTTTGCAACACTGGGTAACCATTGGATAGACAGCCCTTTTAGAGCCAGTTCAATGAAGAATCGATGCTATGATTCGATGTTTTGTAAGTGGGTTGGATGCTACTAACCGTAACAAAAGTGACCTGATGGTCTTGGTAGAATATTTCATAACACATACTACTTATTATGAAATATTCTACCAAGACCATCAGGTCACGTTTGTTGCGGTTAGTAGCATCTAACCCACTTAAAGAACATCAAATCATAGCATTGATTCTTCACTGGACTGGCTATGAAAGAGCTGTCTATCCAATGGTTACCCTGTGTTGCAAACAAGGTTATTGTGACGAAAATACACTTCCTGGGTACAAGTATATGAATGAACTGACAAGAGATTGCCGGACAAGTATACGTGATGAGCGGCAAGAACCGCAAAACCGGTCGTGCGCTTCCAGAGAAATGTTGTCCAGCCACTCATATACTAATTATTATGAAATATGAAATACACTTGACGCGAGATACATCGAAAAGAAATTTCTTCGCCAGTACCGATTACTAGATGCGGATCTGTTGTAAGAGAATTAGTCCGCGTTTGTCCGTGAACATAGCATGGTGCACCTCATTCATCATCCTGTCACTATAACCGAATGAGATGCGATTCAATTTCAACGGCAATTTGTTCATCCACGTCAACCAATAATTACTGTAAATCCCCTAAGAGTGAACTCTACAGAGTCCATGAATAAATAAAAAAATGGTTTAGCTGTGTGCCAGTTGGATAGCGATGGCGGGTAAAGTGTTCTATCACTAAGGAAGACGAATTTTAGGATGTAAAAAACGACGACAAATCACTCCTGAAACAGATTTGAAAATCAAGCGAAAAACAACTGTTTTATCAAATCTTCAATCTCGATTTAGGCTAAGACTACAACTACCAATCGAATGCGTCAACAAAGCGAAAGAATTCAGCTCAGGAAGATTATCGCGTTCTATGGAAGTTTGATACAAGACAGTTAGCCCAACACTTCCCCGTGTTCCCCGGGGGTGTATCCCGGGTTTATAGTCAACCAGCTGGAAGGAGAAATTGGATTGCAGCGTGACTGTAATTATAATCAAAATCACCATTCCATAGACTTGGATGCAATGCAGCCGGGGGGGTCTATGCATCGATGTTGGTTTGGAGATAATTTTTAATCGTTGGAACAGGAAGTACATCTCATTTTCCCACTCAGGAATAGTTGTTTTCGAATTGCATGCTCCATGTCGTATTTCAATTACCCGCATCCTGGTTCAGCACACGGGATGTTGAGCGATTTTCCCCCGGCTAATAGAAACCCTAGATGGTTGGAGTTAGAGCTGAGGGTTGGGAGTGTAATTACGGAGACCCAAGAGGTTGCATATGACCAAGAGATAAAACAGTTTATCGACACCCATGGGTGTGTGACTGCTAATGGATATGCCTTAGGGGTGGTGGTGGCTCAATGGTTTAGTCGCCGTCACTGGCGTGCTTTGGACCCTATGGTTCGAGCCCCGCCACCACCACCACCCAACTTTGGTGGTAGGCAGCTCTGATGTCGCCTAATCTATCGGGTCCTTATGTGGTTCGCCACACCAAGTCCCGCGGGGCTTAGGTTGCCACTGTACACTGAACAGCAGATCGTCGAGACTATGGGGTTCGCCCCGTCTGCTGTTCATCACACTTGGGTGTGTAATAAAAAAAACATTGTATGCGTGTGCGACTGCAAACGAATCAACAGCCGAACAACCCCAACAGCTACAACAAATCAAGGAACAAGTACAGTCAGGTGAAGCGGATCAGAACAAAAAGTACAGAAGAACTAATCACTTTCCGATTGAAGTTCGTCAATGCGCATGAAACGGAGTAGGGGATTCACTCTCTTGTACCGTATTCCAGAATAGCTAAAAGTTGGAGCCCACAATAGCGCACCAATTAGAATCGGGAATAAAGACCGTCTGGGCGAATGAGGACAGTGGTAAATATAAACGAGCAAATGGAACAAAAAAGGTCAAGGGTGGTCAACCTAAGACCTAGCATGAGGGTATGAAAACCCCAACCGGGGGACTGGGTTACATAGGTCCCGTTAGGCTCTCTGTTTGGGGACTTCGGGATGACTGTAAACGATGGTCAGAGACACTGACTGAGTGATATGGCCGGGAGTCGTAAACAATGGTGTTCGTGCATCTTCTCTCAGTTTCTTTGCAACGCTAGACCACTGAAATTCTCCATTTTCTATTCGCCTCTACTTTCAACTTTCCTGTCCTTCTCCTACTGCTTCATCCAAATGGGCCAGGCAAAAGACGGCAACGAAAACCGGCGCACGAAAGTGCATGGTCAATGGCTGTACAAACTGAAACTGGACGAAACAAGAAACTCACATTGATTTGGAATAGACTCCTTTGACTAATTGAACACCCGGACCACCATAGACATAATGCACAATCGGGAACCCATTGGGAGGTGGTGGTTGACTTGGAAGATACAACAAACCGTACAGGAATGTTTGCGGATAATGATGACGCGATGCGGTAGGGGACGACAGGGGTGGATTCGGTTGGGGATGGTTTGATTGGGACGGATCGATCATTTCGAACTCAGCCTCGTCAATATTGTATCGAACCACCTTGGGCGGATCACAAGGACGGATAAATTGTGAGGCAGCACTGTGGTGAGATACTGACAGGGGGTTAGGGGATGAAAGACGTGCGGGCGCACGCGCGAGGGAGAGCATGAGCGCAAAAGCTAGATCGATTGAAAACCGAAGAATATATATATATATGGATTTGCATGCCTGACGAGCGGCAATAACCGCGAAACCGGTTATGTGCTTCCAGGGAAATTTGGTTCAGCCAGTCACATACTGCTTATTATGAAATATATAAAAATATATAAAACAAGAGGTATTTAAGGCGATATAAAGTTTAATCATATTAGTGACCTGGATTTCATGAAGCCACTTTTCTTTGTCAGAAAGTCAAATGAGACTGTGCTAATTCAACAAGGCAAATGGGACAGGACAGTATCCTACTGACTAGGTGTCCTCGGCCTAGCCGATCACACTTGCCAATCCGCCATGTAGGGAGGCACCTTTTGTCACCGATTACAAAAACCCCAGACAACTCGATCTTTGACAGGCAAACTACTTGTCTCCTCACTTCAACTTCTCGAACGATCTTCTCTAAGATGGGTTAGTGGTGCGGGGGCAGTAGTAAGTAAGTAAGAATTTAATCGGTATCCACCGACAGTCTACATAAGACTGAGTTTCGGCTCAACTTTATCAACAACAAAAATCACTGCCCATATAGCCCGCTGGTTTTGAGAAGCACATCAGACCACATCTGTATGCGCAGGCTCGATAAGATGGACCAGTAAGTAATGTGATGATGAAGAATGTGAACAATCTGACCGGAGAGAGAGAGTTCGTGTTGGGTTTAGAAAAGAGCCATTGTCCTGCGTGAGCTACAACATGGGAACAGTCACACCTACCATGTTGCCGGAGCCAAGCTACATGACGAAATGACGGTTCCATCCGGGTCGGGCCAAGTAGATCCGGATTGGTCGTGCTGGCCGGACTGGAGATGGAGATGTCCGAACTGGAACTGACCGACTGGAACACGATTCGAACAACCTGCGTTCCCGGCAGACGACTCAGACTGCTGGATGTGAGTACCGCCCAGCCCGATTCCACATCCAATGCACTAACCTCGTACGAGAGCGGATAGTCGTTTAGACTGGGACACAGAGGGAATGTGGGATCAAAGCAGGATGCCCCGGTGGTGAAATATGATTGGCCCGCACGAAATACGGGCGGGCTAGCAGATAGTAGTGAATCTTCCCCAGACTGGATCTCATTCTCAGCTGTGCTCACCACAGATGGACAAGTTGGTGTGAGTCGAATCAGACGGCCACGTGTACTGCAGGCATAACTCACCGCATAGCTGTGTGTCAGTTTCGGAAAAAAAACAAAGTAACAGTTGATTGGGAGAGCAAACAATCATGAGGAATACGCACTTTATAATAGGAAATTGTACTTAGAGTGGTGAGCAACCAATATTGTTGTGATGTGTACATAGATATAGGGGACAGTGTACTGTTAATATATTCAACGTATGCCTCCGAACGGTTGTTGGTGGGTGTCTAGGATTGCGGTTGTTCATCTCTCCCTTGCACGTTGCAAAACGCTCCCATACGACCAAGCGTCACAAATAGCCTTTGCTGAAGAAGCCCTACTCCCTGCCTTCTCGTAGTGGCTGAGGTGTTTTCCCACCAAATGGAGAGGACGAAAAGCCGGCATCCGGGCTATAACTGGGTCGGTGAACTCTTGGCAGTTCATCTAGGGGAGTCGGTTAAACACCCTGATTCCAAATCAACCAAGAGGAGATGTACGAACCACACCTACCAAAACACCGCTTCCTGATCGCGGTCACCAACTCGATTGGGTAGCGAGGTATTGGGCACTTTAGACATTTGACCCCGTCCAAAGGGTATATGATCCGATAAACTGGACACCGGCCCCAATGGATTGCAGTTTTCGCACACCGCCTTGCTGCCTGGTGGGTCAGGCTTTGGTTAGCCGAAGGCTCCGGTTGTGAACAACCTAAGAAAATTCATTTGTTTTGGTCTGGGCAACCTAGCAGTATCGTGGCTTCGAGCAAATCGAGGTACAAAAATTATTGTACCGTGATTTTTTTGGCAGTGTGAAAATAAATAAATCAATATGGCACCATGAACTATTATAGCCAAGTGATAGTAACCAACCATTACGGATCACTTATTTGCATCGCAACCGATAGTTTATCGAAGAATACACGTTTCTTCACTCAATGAATGAGAATAAAAATAGTTTTGCATTACTACTGATGAAGTAATGCACATTTAAGCATACAAAAAAACTCGGTCATGAGAGATCAGTTGAAATAACTGCACAACTCGATTTGACAGGTGGGTGGGTAGTGAATGGGACGAACTCCATAATGACAGAATATATTGGGAATGAAACCTTGGATCTCAATGGCTGATGCACTCCTACCACCATCACCATCACTACCACCACCACCACATGCACTGCCGGTCACCAACTAATCCCGTTGAACAGGACACGAATTGCAACAGAAAGGAACCCAAATCAAAATGCAAAAAGACAGGAGATTATGGTAACTTACATATTCCGCAATAGTGGATGTTCCCGATTGGCTTCGAAATACACCAGTTGATGCGTTTCATCCAACCAGATCTTGACAAGCGACAAAGAAAAAGGTGGGCAGATGGTAGAGGGAAAGATAAGACGTACACATCAAAACTATAAAGAAAAAAGAACGGGAACTGGGACGAAGCTGGAGGGGGAGGGAATGATTGATGCAGACAGCACGATGTGGAATTGGAGACTCGGCTAAACAGAGGAATCGAGGACGTACTACTACTACTACTCCACTATCGTCACGGATATGTGCTGTATAAAAGCTGGTTGTAGGCAGATCTGCTGTTATCCGGTTCAATACCACGCCTATCCTATCGGGGCCTTATGTGGTTCGCCATCCCAAGTCCCGGGGCTTAGGTTACCGGTTTCCACCACTAAACAGCAAGTCCTCGTGACTATGAGGTTCGCCCCGTGTGCTGTTCATCACACTTAGGTGTGTAACAAAAAAAGAGATCGATGAACAGAGGGTGAGTGTCTTCAGATGGGAATCGCACTGCTTCAAATTGGGATTGACTGGTGATCAACCAGAGCAGAGCGAGTGATTAGAAGGAGCCGCTCGTCTAACATGGGGACCTGTAATGGATAACGGAGTTGAGTTGAGCTTTCACAACCATGCATTTTCATGCGCCAGTTTTGTTTGCTATCTTTTGGCTGCCCATTTGGGTAAAAAAAGAAGACTGATGATTGGAATGTCGAGAGCAGAGTAAAGAGATGATAGTGAATTTATATAGACTGGGGTTGCAAGAATATTGAGTAGATGCACGAAAGCCACTGTTTACGACACCCAGCCATATCACTCAGTGCCTCTAACCACCGGTTAACATGATCTCTGGGTCCCCATCCAAGGAGGCCCTAACGGTACTTATGTGACCCAGTGTCCTGGTTAGGGTTTTCATACCTTCATGTCAGGTCTTAGTTTAACCATCCTTGACCTTCTTCCGCCTTTGTCATTTTACCATCCGCTACCAGCCTCGACAAGCATAGCGCACCATGGTAAAGTATTTGGAGACATGCGCAATACATGTTCAAAACATCGTAGTCTATGGAAGTTGACCACTTACTTCAGTGGACAACAGCGATTACCTAAAACTTTGTCCCTGACCTCAGCATTGATTGTCCGGACTAGCCTAACTGCTGCAGCATGGATCCACATAGCCGCGGTCGAGTGGAAAGACAGAAATCAGCAGAGCTGTTCTGCCTTTATTCAAGCAGGAGAGAATAGGTAGGTTTCAAGGACCCAGTAAAAGTTTTAAAAAATCATACGAAAAAGTAGACAAAGGTCTGGGGTAACAGTTATTGGACTAACACGATTGACAAACGACATTGACAGAAACACGTTCTATTAGTGCAACCACCATATCCGCTAGATTGTCACAAGAGCCCTCCCCCCTTTATTAGGGCAATCATGGCATGTACATGCGCGCCACTGTTGCGTAATCAACTGCGAAGCAGACGGACAGATGCTCTATGGAAAAGTGTGCGCGAAGATCCAACCCCCAAAACCGGTGTACCAGCGACTAATTTAAATGGCAAAAAAAGATTACTCTGTGGGAAAATCAGTTGAAGCGTTGACGAACGATGCACACGATCCGTACGCGAGCATATTTTTATTGGTTCAGCCTAAACATAATCAAGAAACGTTACACACACACACTGGGTTTCGGTCAGTGAAAAACAGTTTGAAGCGAGAATAACGTTGATACCAAAGCGGTGCTGTGAGCGATTCGATCGATGCAACTTGACAATAATTATTAGGCATTCAAGGGGACGTATTCAAATGCTTTTACATTTGCTAGACATATATGCGCACTTTGTTAGTCTTGCATAATAACTTCGTTGTATACCAACGGAAGAAATGAGTCAAAATCTTGATTAGTCTGTCTGTCAGATTCAGTGGACATACCTAGAAAAATAAGAAAGAAGAAATTTAACAAGGACCTGCAGAAATTATCATACTAGTATAGTATCATACACTTCTGCATGCCTACCTGTTCTCCCGTTACCTCCCATGAACCAGAAGTCAATTGTGCCGTGAACAGTTCTTCCGCATCGAGAATCAGGGCGGTGCCGGCATTCGGTGCGTCCACAGGGGTCACACTGCCGATCAGGTCGGACCATGAAGCCCAAGAACGTTGCATCAGGTAGAGATGAGAGAAACCGGAGCGATGACTGGCCCAGACAAATGTGATCTGACAGTCCGGATTCACCCTCGCACCGGTGATCCCGGAGCAATCCGGTTCGGTGGAATTTGTGTGAGCACTGGATTGCCATGGTCGTGTGAGAAATGCCAGATGGTCATGGACCTGCGAACGGGAAAGAGATGCATGAACCAGAGAGAGAGAGGGGGGAACAGCGACGGTGATCAGATGGTTCATGTCGCCATCACTAGACTACTTAGCCCCCCCCCCCCAAGGCCCTGGGGTTCGAACCCNTTATCAACCGACTGTGGTGATTGGCAACATCGCTGTCGCTCGGTTTAGTACCACATATAGCCTTTCCTACTGGACCTTTGTGTGTTTCACCACTCCTTGCTTAGTAAGCCGGGTAACATGCGGTTCAACCCCTCCGCACCACTGTTCATCAAACAGCATTGCAACCATCTTGTATGAGAAGTGGACAAGAATGCATTTTAGCTACATGAATATTCATTCAAGAACGATTAACAAAACCACAGCATCAATTCCAACATATCCGTCACCCCTCGATGTAGAAAAACGGGGAACACCGATGAACTTCTAATCCTAATCAACTCGTACTTTCCCCAAAACTGAGTGCCGATCTTCTCACAAAACTCATGTCATGTTCAAACCAATTTCAGTATAGATTATGTCAGTGTAATGTATGTATGTAATGTAATGTATTCTCCTATGTATCCCCTTACTGCTTCCCTGTGATTTTTCCCGGCTTACTGAAGGCCAATTTCAAGCTGCTAATGCGTGACCTGTCAATGATCAGCTGTTCCGCTATCTGTTCTGATTGGCAATCTCTGTGATGCTCATATTGATGCCTACTTGAAGTTGGCTGACAATATCCTATCTGATTGCACCCATCCTCTGCACGTTGACCCGTGTGCATGCGAATCCCACCCCTCCACCCGTTACAAGTACAAGCTGATCCCGTCTCGCATATCCGCACACAGAAACTCTTTGGCACCCTATCTTTTCCGGATAACTAACCGACAAGGAAAGTGCTCGTTCTCAGCTTTCTAATGCACTTTGTGGTTAAATCATGCTTTTGCAAGTTTACCGTCCCACTTTTTTACCAGAATTGTAACGGTGGTCTATGTTTTGGCTAAAGGCTCGCTAAAGCTTCAATACAATATGCTTCGAACAAACCATATTTATTGTCACTAAGAAAACAATCTCGGGTTGATGAGCTGTACCCCACACGGACGATATGTAGCCCCAGTGGCACTGTTTGAAACCAAAACGATAGAAATGGATAAATACAGCCAGGATAAAGGACTATCACAGAGTCAGTAGTGTTCGCGAGCCGAATTGTTCAATTTATTTTTCTACATTGTGCTGGTGAGAGTGCTGTGCAGAAATGTACTACGCCAAAAAAGTTCGTATTCCGTAATCCATTGTTCACGAGAAATACATTCGGCTGCATAATGGTAAGACGATGACTAGAAATGGGGGCACAAGACAGGCAGACAGACAGCACGGAATTTGACTCACTTTCACCCAAAACTCAACATCTTCTTCCACGACGAGACGTATACACGGAGATTGTCGATCATGTGTCCCTGTCTCGTTGGCACACAAATCGGATGGAACTGTGCTATTGGTTGATTGAAAATTGGCAACCGGTATGAGGATCAATTCCAACCGATTCTGAGTGCGTGTAATCAGCTGACACCAAACACTGCGAACAAGAGTGCACGGAAAAAAATGTGCGAATGTTGAGCGTATTGATTGTGCGGTGTAGGATCGATGCCAGTAACATGCAATACCAAATATGAGGATCAAGCGAACCGGTGAAAATCGAGGAAATTGAAGGCAAATAGCAAGTAAAGTACCTTCATCATCATCATTTTCATTGTACAGCGTAATACAGTGAAGTGAACTGCACTGCTCGCTGCCCAACTCACAATACGTACAACAGAAGTGAGAATGTGTAGGGAGGATAGAGATGGCACCTGCTTTTAGAGACGGGAAAAGAAAGCGAACCTCTATGGTCAACACACAGAGAGAACAATCCAAATGTGCATACATACTATTTCATGCATTCTGGTCTGATAAGAAGTGACTATGAGATCGATACTGCTGTCAATTTTGCTCCCATGACCTTCACTGTCTCCAACCACCCGGTTACGGAGTCTTTTGGACTCCAACCCGGAAGACGAGAGACACCTACTCTACATAATCGCTCCGTGCATTTCTACATGCCTCGTCTCCACTTCATCTACTGGCCTCCACGCGGATTCCTCCAATATGCAACAGACACTGTGAGTAAAGCGCGCTGCGTTACGCGATCGTCGGACATACGCAAAACGTGTCTCAACCAACGGAGCTGAATTCGATGCGATAGCGAGTTCTTGCTCGATGCATTCCCAAACACTCGATGAGTTACTTACAAGTTACTAGCCCGCTCGCTCCATACCACTTGGGCCAGACTACGCAGGCATCGATTGTAATAATCACTAGGCGACGGATGTCTTCTACCCGCAAATTCAAAGTTTCACAATCGTAAGAGAGAACTGATCGTACTGTGGTCCAGTGTGCGCGACTTTTCAACCTCAGTGAAAGATCAAGTAGTCGCCACAGGTGTTTTAGTTCTGCGTACGCCGCTAAAGCGTCGGAAATGCGGGCGGTTATTTTCTCTGATGTGCTACCGTCGTTGGTCACGCAGCTACCTAAGTACGAGAAGCAGTCAACTTCAGGTAGTTCCTGACCGTCTAGTTTCAGAACGGGACTCGACGAAACCCAGTCTTGCAGCATCACTTTGCACTTTTAAGGTGAAAAGCGCATACCGAATGGAGCCACAGGACTGTCAAGCGCTCTTTGTGGATCCTTCATAGATTAGAACAGGCAGAGGATGTCGTCAGTGTACTCCAAATCGCACAGCTTTTCATCAGCTGCCCATTCAATATATGCGTTTTGGAAACCACTAAGTGCGTTCTACAGTATTTCGTCTACGACGAAATCGAACACGAATGACTAAAGAGGTCCCCCTGACAAACACCGCTACTAGTTACGAACGACCTGCTCAGCTCGCCGTAGACCCTTGCGCAACCATAAGTATGTTAGTAGAGTGAACTCAATATGTTCATATACTTCTGCGGCATTCCTTTGCGAACGAGCGAACTCACAAGGGATTCACTAGGTCCGAGGTAAAGGCCAAGGAGGAACGACGATGGGAGATCTTTTTGGAAAAATCGATGTCCTGATAAATTCATTCATCGCCAATGTTTCGGTTTCCTTTTAGCAACAATGCTCCAAGTGAGAAGATGACAAAAAAGGTTTCGGTCGCTTCAGTGTAGATCGTGATCGACGGACTCAGATGCATATTCATAACCCTCCTCCTCCCTCGAATTGTGTCGAAATAAACTCGGATGATCTTTGCTGACAGCATCAATGATTATCGGCTTTCAGATGGCTTGTGGTGCCACATGTGCCGACCGAAAGACGAGACGCCTATATTATTGTTTGAAACAGTGAAAATCATCGACCAGACCCGGCCAAAAGAAGTCAATCAACTCAATAAACAGACACATCGAACTGAATCACAAGTATACACCAAAGAAACCGATGAATTAAATGACACAACACATCACGACGTGGTCACATCGTGACCTGAGAACCAACCTAAACTAGACGCAAAAACAACCCCCTTCAATCTCACCCCCTCGCACCAGTTCAACAGCGAACCGGGCCGAACAAAGTAAGAATAAGGGACAAAAAATAGTCGGTGAAGAAGAACATACATAAACGAATGGGTACACTATCACTACACAAGCGTTCACTATGTCACAAAGGCTGGTAAGGAAACGTTTGTAAACAATTTGCCAATTAGACGACGAACTCTTCATGTAAATGAGGCGTTAGCTGACAAGCTGGGAAGCACTGGATGGCTGTTTCGACCTGGTTGGTTTTCATCAGTGCAGTGCGCGAATTCATCGACCCAAATGGGGATCGGACTCGGGACCAGACAGGTAGAACGCAAGCATTCTACCCACTCGGCTCCTGGGCAGCTGATCAAAAAATTTCTCATTTTGAATATACACGATATAGCACAACCCATCTTTGCGAGCAACGGATCTCGCTTATCTCAGCAATAGCCTCCGGGATTATGACTCTGTCGGAAACTTTTACAACCTGAGAATTGGTAACAGGTTAACAGGCGAAATGGAATTCAGTTCACCCGAGCTAAGAGAACCGGTCAACCTAGTAAATTGTTCAAACCGCTGTTTGGAAGACTGAAGTATTTCATGTCAAGATTGTGAAAAGTTCAGCAGCCTCGGTGGGATTCGAACCAACTCACGGACGCCGCCTGCGTCTTTGTACGCGCACACTCTACCAGCTGAACAGCTACAAAGCTAAATCGATAGCACACTGCTCTTTTCACATTCGAATCACCCACCCTCGTAGTTCAGCTGGGAGAGCGTGCGCTACACAAAAACGTAGGCCGCGTATGATGCCTACATATCGGAGATGATGATTGAGCCGGGAGCGATGCAGGCCTCGATTTTGTCCATCAAAGTGGCCACAGTTCGATCTGGCACTGCATACATGAACACCTTTTTAGTTTCACGGCAGATCCCTCCGAAAAGGAAGAAGGACTTGCTCTGCGTGGTTTTTACGGCGAGATATTAGCGTTTCATCGATCTCGACGTGTAGACCTTGGCGGCCGATAACTTTTAGAGTCTGCAAAAGCCGCGAGGCGCAAACTTCGTGAAGAAAGTTCTTCCAGTCAACATCGGTCGTGTGACTAACAGATAATTCCTCTGAGCAGAATTTGAGGATCTTTTCTAGATAAGCCCCACCACTAATGCAAAAAGTGCATGCGCAAAAGTTAACCCCGCCACTTTTTGCACACAATCTTGACCTATTTTTGATGAAACCAACCTTTTCTCCGTTAGGACGTAATATCTTGAATGAACTTTCTGACGCTTGACCTTGAATTTACGGGTGGAAGACATCCGTCGCCTAGTGATTATTACAATCGATGCCTGCGTAGTCTGGCCCAAGTGGTATGGAGCGAGCGGGCTAGTAACTTGTAAGTAACTCATCGAGTGTTTGGGAATGCATCGAGCAAGAACTCGCTATCGCATCGAATTCAGCTCCGTTGGTTGAGACACGTTTTGCGTATGTCCGACGATCGCGTAACGCAGCGCGCTTTACTCACAGTGTCTGTTGCATATTGGAGGAATCCGCGTGGAGGCCAGTAGATGAAGTGGAGACGAGGCATGTAGAAATGCACGGAGCGATTATGTAGAGTAGGTGTCTCTCGTCTTCCGGGTTGGAGTCCAAAAGACTCCGTAACCGGGTGGTTGGAGACAGTGAAGGTCATGGGAGCAAAATTGACAGCAGTATCGATCTCATAGTCACTTCTTATCAGACCAGAATGCATGAAATAGTATGTATGCACATTTGGATTGTTCTCTCTGTGTGTTGACCATAGAGGTTCGCTTTCTTTTCCCGTCTCTAAAAGCAGGTGCCATCTCTATCCTCCCTACACATTCTCACTTCTGTTGTACGTATTGTGAGTTGGGCAGCGAGCAGTGCAGTTCNCTATCGCATCGAATTCAGCTCCGTTGGTTGAGACACGTTTTGCGTATGTCCGACGATCGCGTAACGCAGCGCGCTTTACTCACAGTGTCTGTTGCATATTGGAGGAATCCGCGTGGAGGCCAGTAGATGAAGTGGAGACGAGGCATGTAGAAATGCACGGAGCGATTATGTAGAGTAGGTGTCTCTCGTCTTCCGGGTTGGAGTCCAAAAGACTCCGTAACCGGGTGGTTGGAGACAGTGAAGGTCATGGGAGCAAAATTGACAGCAGTATCGATCTCATAGTCACTTCTTATCAGACCAGAATGCATGAAATAGTATGTATGCACATTTGGATTGTTCTCTCTGTGTGTTGACCATAGAGGTTCGCTTTCTTTTCCCGTCTCTAAAAGCAGGTGCCATCTCTATCCTCCCTACACATTCTCACTTCTGTTGTACGTATTGTGAGTTGGGCAGCGAGCAGTGCAGTTCGCTTTACCGTATTACATTATACGATGATGATGGGCTTGCTACACAATAAAGGCATACATCGATTAGATCATTGAAATGTATGTCCACACTCACGTACACACAATCAGTGGAATGGGTAGATAGACCGGCACGAATAAGCAGTGCCAGAAGTGAATGAAGAGAGAGAGAGATACGACATTTTTTATCATGCAATAGTTGCAACTGAGCGTGAGAACGAGATACACAAAGCATTGTGGCGACTCACTATGTCCCGTCCGGTGTCCAACCGGCTCGAACGAGGTACTCAAATCCCGGTATGTAATTGAACAATGGCCGAGGCAATGCCGAATGACTCACACCGGTTACCTACAGAGGCAAAGTACAGCGGATGCATACGCACTTACGGGACAGTAATAAAAAAAAGCTGGGGAACGGGTGAGCACGCGAATCGTAAGTAGCCTGATCATACTGCATGCTTTTGAGCTATATTACTTATAAAATGAGCTGTAGAATGGAATGTGAGGAGAATAAGATAGAACGGCTAAATGAAGGATGAGGTCAGAGTATATTCTATCGTCATTATATTCTCCAGAGCGGTTCCATTCATTGTGATGCTGAACTACAGATATACGCGCTTAGTACGAAAAAGGTGTTGAACAAGGACGGATTATATATATATATATATATATATATATATATATATATATG